CCTGTTAATTCTGTTAATCTGTTCGATCAAATTTGCCATAAATTTACAGGCCAAAATTAATTCTTCACATCATTTAATATCAAGGAAAGTAATTACCCTTCTAATTTCACATTGTTGTAACTGTTTGAACATTATTCAATTGAACTAACTTTGTTGTTGTTATATGTTTCTAAATGTAGATTAAGAAAAAATGAGATTGCTTAAGAAAGAGGCCAAAAATGGTACGACGCTTTGATGCGCTAGATGCCACTCACTGCTTTTTCTAAGATTGTTGTGGAGTACGTCACAGGCTCACAGCTGCTTCCACGGGTGAAATTGCAAGGCAAGAATTGAGGAGGTAGATCTTCCCCGTCCAAGACGTTGAGGAAAAGGACGGTGGTGTTTGACCTGGGCTCTGGACCATTATCCTGGAGGAAGACGTGGCAAAAGCACTTGATAATTAGCAGGTGCAAGCAAATACTGTCCAAACAAGCGGGGGTATTCTTAACTGATTTTAATCCCTTCATGCCAGGATGCGTTAAAACACGCCAAAAAAATTGAGATCCTCAGCCCGCTTTTCAGGAATTATTCTCGGCCCACGCTCGAGCGAACACGGTGAAAGAAGGCAGACCCTGGCTCTTGTGTATATGGTAATTGGTCTTTGTGTGTAGCCCAGAAATGAAAAGACCGAATTTGCATCATAATCACCAGCTTCACAATAGTCCCCATTTTGAAAAGAGGCAACGGGAATGTGGAAGCTTGAGTAGAGCCGCGTGCCACCAAATAATCAGCCTTTTCACCGTGTAATTCAAAGCGTGCAGAGCACGCTGGGCCACAAACTGAGAATTTGCGGTTTGGCAGGTGGCCTTTGTGGCCAAGCGAGGCTGGAATTCTTGGAGTCAGCTTTCGGAAAGAAATTCCCGCCAAGAAGGGGTTAAGGAGGACACTCTTGGCTTGAGGATACATTTTTACTACATCTCATTTGCTACTGCTGATCCACAGACTTATCTCAGTAAACACACGCAGCTGTGTAGGCCTATGTGCGGTATTTTCTGACCACCAAATCTGATTAGTTTTGGCAATCCTGCCCCGCTTTTATGCTGGTGGAGTTTGGCCGACTTCCGGCCTGAGTTTGAACAAAATTGTCAGCAATTAAATACTAAACAATACCTCATCTATGCTGCCGAATATGTACAGATATTATCAATTCTCAATCTGTTCCTCTGGATTTGAATGTCTGTCTGCTGGCACGACCAGCAGCTGACACCACGCTCGACTTGTACGGAAGGAAACCTTACATTCATTTCCAGCAAAGGCTCT